TGTTGTTCAGTGTTCTCTTGATGGTGGTCTCATGAACACTGACATTCACCAATGCAAGAGTGGCTTTTAGTTACTTAGGTATTACCCTGGGCTTTTTTGAGACCTCCCAAAGCATTACATGCCTTGCTATTGGTGTGATCTTGGTTGGTCAGCCACTCCAGGGGAGAATAACAATGGTGTTGAATTGCCTCCATTTGTATGCAGTCTGCCTGATAGTGGACTGGTGGAGTCCATACTCTTTGGAAATAGTTTTGTGACCTTTTCCAGCCTGGTGAGCATCAACAACTGTTTTTTGGAGGTTGTGAGGAATCTCCCTTACTTGAGATGACACACATCCACTGTCAGACTTTGAATAATTCTGTTCTTTAAATAAGGCAGGACCTCCAATGTTCACATCTGATTATCATCCCATTGATTGAAACACCTGACTCTAATTTCCCTTTCAAATGAACTGATAATCCTAGAGGTTCACCTACTTTTGCCACACACAAATATGTAGCCTTGGATCATTTCCCTCAATAAATCAATGAACGAGTCTAATGTTTTTGATTGATTTGTTTAATTGGCTTCTCTTTATATAGTTTTAGGACTTGTGTGGGGAACAGATCATGTTTTAGGTCATACTTATGCAGAAATATTGAAAATTCAAAAGGGTTCACATAAACTTTTAAGCACCACTGTAGTTGTATTCTAGGGCTTAATTGTAAACAGTGTATTTTGCAATGTGCTGTGGTTAGAGGCAGTATCATGTTAGTATGTGCAGTGAGGCTTGTGTCCATAAATTTGATTCCAACTGCTCTCCTTTGTAATATTTAAAATTCATGTCCTGATTTCCTTCCATGATGACTTTCCCTGCCTCCTCTCCCAACATACTGAGTCAGATCATGGAGATTAGAATTATCTACTTTGACTGACAGCATGCAAGATGTAAACAAGCAGAGGGAAGAATATTTACTTTTCTGAGACTGCTTAGCCAAGGGGAGAATAATCTATATATAAATCACTAAAGTGTATTCCTTCAGATAGGATGCCCAGTAATCTACAGGGTGTTGAAATTAGGATATATAAAGTCTCCTTGCCAGCTTCTTGACATAATAGGAGGGCTCAGTGGGTTCAGTGACTCTGATAGTTACGTTGGTTGCAATATGAGCTTGTAAAAGGGTTCACCTTTGCCAGTAAGATTAAAAAGAGGAGGCCAGTTGGGACTTGCAGGTATCTGGGAAGACAACACACCTGTTAGAAAGAATTTCAAACTCAGAAGAAGTAATGGCAAACAATTTATCTGTTGATTCCTTGATGCTCTCTGAACTTGGTTGTTTGCTTGCAGATGTGTCATTACCTGACTAAGTAACATCATCAGTGCTAGTTGAGTGTGGGGTTTGCTCCCTGTTTATATACAGTAGCTTGCCCTGTCAGTGTGTGTGTGTGTGTGGGGGGGTGTTTCTCCTTGGTAGTTCCTTGATTAGAGTATTGTTTTCTGTGTCCATAAATTTGGGTATTGTTTCTGATTAGGGTATTGTTTTCTGTCAAGCTTCCATGTCCACTTTGTGGACATGTCTGAAATATGAAGATAGCTTTAGATACCAGATGATGAGTCCCCAGGTCAGAAGACATCCTAGTTATTGACAAAGAATGTTAAACATTTACAAGTAACTCTGAAGGAGACCTAAGCCATAAGGAAGCCTGGCCACTGGTGGTGCTAATATTAAGAGAGGAATTTCTTGTTGTACAAGTATGTATAAGGTTGGAGTATGGAATATGAGGAGAATTTGAAATCGTTGCAGCAGAATTGTGTGGGGCTGAAAAACAAACTATTCAACATATAGTGACAGAGTGCCAAAACAGAGCCTACAATGGAGATTTTGTTGATTTCCTGGCTGTGACAAATGAAGTAAAAAATTATATTTGTAATATAGACCTATGCTTATAATTTTATATTTTATATTTCATATTTTGTATTTTATCTCTTGTGTTTTTATTCTACTGAATTGCAATGTGAATATGCCATATGATAAATAAAAATGTGTCTAAATTGAAAATTTTAGAAATATATGATCTTAAGTTTATGGAATGGACCGATTTAAATCAGATGGGTATGTGAGAAAGGAATTAGATAGCAATGTTACTCAAAAAACATTGCTGAGTGTATCGTTGGCTGTAACTTAATCAACAGCAGATCATATGCATTAGAATTAATGGCTATACGGTGAATATCAATGATTTCCAAGTGCATGTGAGGTGGAAGACACTGAGGAATTCTATGGCAAATGGTGCTAAATGCAGTGTTAACAATACAGTACAGTATTATTATTAGCTGAATGTAATGCAAGTGTTAAAAAAAATTGGAGTACAGGAAGTTTTGGATTGAATAAATGCAATAATGCAGGAGATAGGTTAATAGAGTTTTATGAATAGAGCTGTTCTATTCATGCTTCTGTTCTGCTGACACTTGCTTCAAGTTACAAAGATGCAGATCTTGTGCATGAATATCACTGAATGCCCAAATTGGAATCAGATTAATCACACAGGTAACAAACAGAGGATGAAGAAGTGCAGTGCAGTAAGACGGGGCGTTTCCAGGAAAAACTATAAGTTGGCATTTTATCTGTATAATTGATAGCAGCTTAGTAAATTAAAGAAAGCAGGTATACCAGCAAGATTTGTTCTGGAAGATACACAATGAGAATATTACATAAGTATTACATGCTTACCTTATGTGAAAGAAACTTGAGGACCTATGGGGAGAGATAAGAGATGTTGTGAAAACTGAAGTGGAAAAAATAATCCCCAAATTTGCAAGAACAAAAGATCCAAGTGGATTTCAGAAGAAATTATAACAGCCAAGAAAAGAAGGAATATACAAATCGTGGCCCACAATAAGGACGTATTATGAATGCAGCCTTTTTAGTGTCAAGCCATCTCATTGTCTAAACAAGGATAAATACCTCAGTGAAGAATGTCAGCAAGTAGGGGAATATAATAAAGCAAAAGTGAGAGATGATCTTAAGAACAGAGAAATCACAAGAAAATTTACAGCTGAGGCATGAATACTTGAGTAAACCTGGAATACAAGCAAAGGATGTTAAAAGAACAGGGAAAGATTGCACAGAAACTCTGTAGATATATAGGATTTACTTATTAAAAAGATTTTTATGGCTGCCCATCTTATATACAGTAATCCAGGGTGGCTCATAGCAAGATCAAAAATATAAAACAAAATACTGTAAGATAAAACAGCAATACACAACATCAACATTGCACTACACCCTGTGGTGCCCCCAATAACAATGCTTCCATCGAACAGTTGCATCCTATATTTGCTAGGCTCCATTCACACCATAACCCAGTGCCTGGGGGAAGAGCCAGCTTCTTGTGACTTATAGAAAAACAAAAACATTTAGAGAGGCTGTACACAACAGCTGACTGCAATAGAAAATAAAATGCAAAATGCAGTAGACCAGCCATTAAATACCAGGCACCAATGAAATGCCTATTGAACTATTTAAAGCTGCAGGTGAAAGGCAGGTAAAGTGCTAATAGTTCTGTGTCAACAAATATAGAACAAGATTGTCTGGCCTAGAGTTTGGAAAATATTAGAATATAAGTCTACACTAAAGAAAGGATATATAAGACAATGTGTAGATTGTCAAACTACTAGTCAGATTCCTCATACAAGTCAAATTTTACTTAAAATCTTATAGAGTAGAGCCATACATAAGGGAGAAGCAGCTTTTAGGAATGGCAGTAAGCTACAAGGTCAGGTAGTTAATGTAAGATGGAATATGAAGACAGCAAATGGAGATTTTCTTTTGCATTATTGACTACAGCAAGCCTTTTGTGTAAACGTACCAGAATCTAGGTTAATGGGTATACCAGAGCACCTGCATATTCTTCTGATGAATCTTTATCACGAGCAAGAAGCTACTGCAAGGACTGAATCTGGAGAACAAAGAGGTTCACAGTAGGAAAGGGAGTAAGTCAAAGATGCATATTTTTCCCATATCATTTGTTCAACTTACTCAGCAAATAGAAGAATGGTAGGATTGGATGAAGTGACAGCTGGAGCCAAAATAGGCAGCTAGAACACTAATCATTTGAGAGTGGCAGGTGATTGGATGTTTACTTTGCTGAAAGGAAAGAGGAATTTGAAGAACTTGTTATAAAAGTCAAAATGGAAAGTGACAACTCCAGATTCATGTCATCTAGCATGCTTATTATATTTCCATTTGAAAGCAAAAATGTCCACTAGACAAAGTTAGAGAACTGCATTTAATCTTATGACTGCAAATTAAAAAAAAGGTTAGTTTGTAATATTTATTTACTAATGGTAAATGATTAGCTACAATGAAATCTCAGTCTAATTGATCAGTGGGGCTGTGTGTCCCTTCATTATTCAGAAAGTATGTCAGAATAGTAATTTACATCACTTGAGTAATGAAGTAGTTCTGCACATGTCACAAAGTATATTTTCTGCAAAATGACATTGTTTCATGGAAATTTGGTCTACCGCATGCAAAGTCTCTTGTACCTTGATCTGGTAAATTCAGGGTTCACTATATTTTTAAACTGTTGGGAAAGATTGAAGGCAAAAGGAGAAGGGGACGGCAGAGGATGAGATGGTTAGATAGCATCACTGAAGCAATGAG